ATGATCGACGGCTTGTGCATCAGATCGTATTTATTCACGATGTACTTACAAAAAAATCAGCAAACTACCTGCTGGATCTCCTCACTGTGACCTAAGGTCCTCGCACATTTACCAGCTTCACATTCCTTATTGCCGTACAAACACTGTAGGAAGGGCCTTTGCTATTGATGCCCCCAGGGTCTGGAATGCTATCGCAATAAACTGCAACTTGGATCACTACCTGTGAGATCTTCACTCACAACTGCTCTAGAGGAGTTGTACACCCCTAGCTGCCACTGCTATGCAGAGTGGCCTGAAATCAAATGCATCGCTCCGGACGTCCGCTGCAAAGTATGATCTTGAGTTTGGTTATAGTGTGCTGATGTTTAAAGGTGCATTGAAATAGTTTGATTCTCCTGCTGATACTCGTGCTGTTATGGAGTGACTCGTGCTGCCAGCTATGGCTGCAAAGTTTGGTCGTACATGTTATGTAATATTGTTTATTGTTACATTTGAATCACAGTTCCTGTGATCATTGTTACATTGTTTTTATAGCTTTATTTTCATGATTTCGAAAACGTATGGTTTAGCCATGTTTGTTTGTTGAAGTAAAGAGTTAGCCTGATAACTCTAATCTAAATTGTCTTATGGTTGTTATTGTTTGACTTGCATCCCATTGGGATTTTTGCACACAGCGTTGATATGCGGTGCTTTTTCTGGAAGACTTTGCTGTTTTTTCCTGGATTTTTCTGTTGCGCTTAGTCACTTTAAGATGTTTCTTGTTCATGTTTTTGTTTGTTGCGGTTGCACCCGAGTCAAGAGCCACATGGCTCACAGGGCGACACCTCATAAATGAAACTGAAAGACGTAAACTTCCTCAATCTCTCTCTACGTGTTAATACACTCTCAGTGTAATCATCATGGTCTATACTCGTTGGTTCTTTCGGTAAAGTCACGTAGGTATAAAATAAATCACGTTTCGGGCGGAACACAATCGTCCGTCATCAGGTGGGACAAACACATCAGGTGGGACAACCACAGCAAGAAACAAGTCACAGCAAGAAAGAAACAAGTGTTTCTTGCTGTGACGGACGCTTGTGTTGCGCCCGAAACGTCGTGATTTAATTTATTTTCTATCTACGTGACTTTACAGAAAGAACCAAAGAGTATGGATCCCCGCAGTCACGAAAACTTCAAATCTAGAATCACCATGGTCTATCTACTACTGGGTAAAGGTCAATGCGATGTTGTTGGTGTAAGTGCAATTCCGGGCATCTCTCCATCCCTCTTTGCACACTTTTCAGTTTTGTAATTTCCGTGGGTCCAACATTGCAGGGAGTGCACTGAGTGAGTGATTGGCATCTGGGCGTGATCCCCTGAAGTGTCTTGGCAGTTTATGAAGTTTGTAGAGGTTAAGATGTTTAAATTGCCCTTACATTTAATCAACCAATTACCTAGTCGACACGTAGGCTTTAGCAGCCGGTGATGTCATGCTTCATACGGGAGGTGTGTGGGTTGGGTTGGGATGGGCTGCCCGCCGAGCGTGAGCCTCACCGAGTCTCAACTCTTTCCCAGGAGGGTCCTACCAGGCTTCCGCAGTAGGGGGCGATGGTGCTGCTGCCGCAGCCGCCGCCGCCGCTGTATATCATCCCAATTGAGTAGCTTGCAGGTCATATTTCAGCATTGGGATAAGTTGACCACCCTTCTGCGCTCTTGCACAATGTGGGGGGGGGGGGGGGGGGATTACTGAGGCAACGTACACTATGCATGTGCATTATGCGAGCCCTTTGAACTTGTCCTTCCTGTCTATTGTGTTTATTCAAATAACCCTATACCAACGGTAATCCCTTTTGAAGTACGCTGCCCTTTGTAGGCATGCATTTTAACAATGTATTATTTGATGATTCGCTTCCACGCAGCACTAAGGCGGTAGCTATCCGAACGGTTAAAGTTATTTTGATTTATTTTAATTTCTATAGATTATCTAATTAGTCTTGGACAGGAGTAGCTCGTTTTGCAAAAAAAACTTCAACGTTATCAAAATCAATTGAGTGTCCTTGTTGGCACGCATGTTCTGATACTGCTGACAGTTGCATTTGGGATAATTTAATATTTCTCTGATGTTCAATGGCGGAGCTAGGATTTTCAGGTAGGGAGGTCAACCACTTCAGAAATGAAAAATGATAGGAGTTGTTAGTAAGGACTTGTCCCTTGCTTTTTATTCGACGCGTGTGTGATCGGCATCGCGCTCACTGAAGGTGTTTGCCTTCAGGGAAGTCGCGTACTGTATACGCAACTGCGCACAATTCTGAGTCACTTATAACCGCTTTGCCGTTACTTATTGCCAATTATGGACTCAGACTATTGTCCTATCATCTCATAGAGTGCCTGGCACATAATAATATGCTCCACAGTGGCAGTGGGGGTCGCCGATTTATTACTAATAAACCCCAATGATCCAATTAAAATGAGGGATTTCGATCGGATGATTAGGGGGGCACGTGCCACCCCACCCCCACTGGCTCCGCCAGTGCTGATGTTCTTTCAGTCTCATGCTGGTCAATCGTCCCGTTTTCTCCACAAATCTGTCTGTCGCCTGATGAAGCTGGTTGTAATTACTGGCGAAACGTCGTACTCAGTTTGTAAATGTTGTAGCTTGGCTCTCCAACACACCGGTGTGCTGTACTAGTGACGAATTAGCACGTTCTGTTTACGTGACAACCCTTACTAGTTGGCTGTGTCGGGTGATGGCGAGTTTAACGACACATTTATATATTTACGCGATCTCACCCAAAAATCTAGTATGGATGATATTGGTCGTGAAATCCTCCTACGTGTTAAACTGAGCATTGGGATGGTTACATTGCGCGTGTTCCCTTAACTGGAAGGACCCAGAGGAAGCCCATGGAGAACAGGGGTAGAACATACACACTCCTCACACTCCACACACGCCTAACAGCACCACACACTCCTCACAGCACCGCCACTCCTCACAGAACCACGCGTGTGCGTGCACCGCCACTATTCACAGCGGTTCATATTCCCACACCGCGATGAGGGAAAACGGCAGTGAGTCCAAGTGAGTGTGAGAGGGCGAGTGTGAGAGGGCGAGTGTGAGAGGGCGAGTGTGAGAGGGCGAGTGTGCTGTGTGAGTGTGCTGTGTGAGTGTGCTGTGTGAGTGTGCTGTGTGAGTGTGCTGTGTGAGAGGGCGAGTGTGCTGTGTGAGTGTGCTGTGTGAGTGTGCTGTGTGAGTGTGAGAGGGCGAGTGTCCTGTGTGAGTGTCCTGTGTGAGTGTGCTGTGTGAGTGTGCTGTGTGAGTGTGCTGTGTGAGTGTGCTGTGTGAGTGTGAGAGGGCGAGTGTGCTGTGTGAGTGTGCTGTGTGAGTGGTGATGAAGTGGTTAGAGTGCTGCGCTATGAAGCCACCTATCCGAGTTCGATTCCCCCTCACGGTCAACACCAGTGACGATTATCTAAAGCAGTACTGGGCCTCTCCTGGGTCGACTCGACCTCAAATGAGTACCTGGTGTGATGTGTAAAACATCGCCACTGGGGAGACAAATGTGGCCGGGTGTGGTGCTGGCCACGCACCCCGTCGTGTGCCTTGCCGGCCTTTAAGGCGACAGGGTGTGTGAGGGGCTGCGAGTGGATCTCTGAGAGAGTGAGAGCATCAGTGAACATGGGCTGCTGCAGGGTGATTCGCTTTCATCGCGCCACCCTACATCGACGTGCGCCACCCAGGTCCGTGTAGGTGTGTACGTTGAACTTATTTCGCACCGTACGTAGCCAACCGTGTCCCACAGCGATCTGATTACACTGCCCTGTAAGGGCTACAATGTTATTCCCACAGCGTGATAGCATTATCATTTGTTCTAATGGATCGTTTAGGTCTTTAAACATTTTCCACCTGGGAAATATCTGGAAACAGAACGCCTCAATTGCACAATTGCCACTGCAAGCACACTATGACGCGCGCACGAGCACCGTTCTGCTGCCCTAGTTCTATAAATATAACGCGACAGGTTTTGCTGCCAGTATCACGACTCATAACTGATGTTTGTATTCGGGTTAAGACCATTGTGTGGCCGAACCCAAGAGTCAATTAAAAATCTTAAAATATAATATGCATGTTTCTGAAATGTTTAAAAATAGCATTTATCATGAAATTGACCTGCAACCAATGTAAAAATGGTGCATTATCGTTGTTATACTTATTTACCCAGGAAAGCCTCAACTCTTTTCCAGGAGGGTCCTGCCAAGGGTTTCACAGTAGGGGGCAATGTTGCTGCTGTGGTCCCTATTGGGGTATGTGGCGAGTCTCAGTTGCATTGCACTGTCTGTGTTTTTATTGCAATGGGAGGAAACCGGTGGAAACTGGGGACAACATACTGTGCTAATCCATGCAGAAAGGCGCCCGAGTCGGGAGTCGAACCCAGGAGGTTCATGCGGTGAGGCGCGAACGTCACCTCTGTGCCGCCGCCGCCCCCACATTGCCACTCATATCAACGACGAAGCGGTCTGGTTATAAAACGCGTAAACTCGAGTATAAACTGCCGATTCACGGTGGTCACTGTTCACGTTTGAAGGGGCCTGGTCGCCAAGTAACTGGCTGTGTGCGTATCAACGCTTCACTGCGCTCGCCTTGTGGTGGAAAATTACCGCGCGTGTCCCAACACCGCAAATTGGCAGCCATTTGTCTGCAGTCTGCATTCAGCACCATGGTTAACACGAGCGTCGCCACCTTCTCCACGATGGACCAAACGTGGACAATGTTTCTAAGTTAGCCTTAGCCTATCTGAAATGAGCAATGTATCGAGTAAGAGTTCAACATGAAGCCACCGGATCTCAGTACACATTAATCCCTGCCTTCTGAATACAGGTGCCAATTCCCGCATCGTGAAGAGTCAAACTCGGACGGGTGGCGATTCTCGTGTTCGCAGACATGAATTTGAAAACAGTGATTGCTAAAACATCACTGGTTACCGTTGTATGTACAAGAAACCCACTTGCGAGTGAACGATGCGTACCAAAGTTGCATTTATATTTTATTTAGCTTTTGTCCACAGCAACGTTAGTGTCAGCTAGCATCTACGAGACACGTTACAGATACACGGTCTGCACATTAAGAGCGATCAGAAATGTGTTTTTGGTTCTCCTGCCGGCAACGTGCCACGATGGGTACGCGGTGTAACGTTGACCCGACTGGCATCTACCTCCATCAGCATCTTATTCGTTCACATTTCATCAGTTTAACTCCTCAAATCCAAGTGCCTTGAAATGGATTCACACAACACTGTCATGCGTACGCACCACTTACAAACGTCACTTTGGTACGACAAATACCACGGCTAACATTAAATTAGTACGCGATCATCCTGCGACTGTACGAACAGTTGGGCAAAGTATAAAAATAGGATGTTTCACGTGATAACTTTGTTTAAAAAAACCACTCTAGCCAAGTCACCCACAGTTATTTTTATAAGTGTGTCCATAGAGAGATTCTGGTCACCAGTGAATCGTCGTCGCAACGATGTTCGGTAAGGCACGACGGCACTGACATCTTAACAAGCACTGTACTGCTGGCGAGCTCTGCTGTAGTCGAACCAGTGCAACTCTTGAGTCACGTACACACGCTGCATCGTCAGTTATAAAATGAACCATGGTGCAAAAACCAAATATAAAACACGAGACACGTTTAAGAAAAGTCACACATTTCCTCAACAGCTTGAAGACCCGAGTTACTGCTGGAATTCATTGGGGAGACATTGGCCTGTAGTCACAGCTTGGCTCAGGCTTGGCTGTGGCACAAGTGAGCCATAGATCAGTCACCATGCTTAACCTGAGCTGGCTCTGGGCAATGGTCACAGCCGTGTACGAGATATTCGCATGATCCGAGCCGAACCACGACTGTTCACTCACGCGTCATTGAAATCATCTGAGCGGCTCAAGCCTGAGCTGGGCTGTGATCGAGGACATGGTCCATAGACTGTGTCGTGCTTCATTGAGAAGGGCAAGGGTATCCTCACTGCTATTCATCAGCAAACCACAACGCCACCGCCACCGCCGCCGCTGTCACAAGTCACACATTGGACAGCAATGGCTGATTATATCAGAGGCAAACTAAAGGTTTTCCCAGATGCTTAAATATGACGCTGAATTGATACGTCTTTTAGTGTTCATTATTTTGCTTGCTTACCTAGAAAAGCCTCACTGAGTCTCAATCATTTTAAAAGAAAAGGGTTCTACCAAGTTTTCATAGTAGGGGGGCGATGTTTCTGCTGCGCGTAATTCTAATTGAGTAATTTGCAATACCAGTTACATTTGTCACGTTTTTTTGCTATGGGAGGAACCCCGCGCAGAACAGGGGGAAGAGATGACAAACTCCACAGACAGGCGCCAAGCTAGGACTTGAACCCAGGCGCTTCTTGCTGCGAGGCGCACGTGTCACTACTGCGCCTGATCAGTGTAGTCATCAAACAGCGCGAGTCACCCCCCGGGATCACACGCGGACGAGGCATCAGAGTGCGCGCGTGTTTGCAGACACCCTCTCTCTTCCTGCTCTTCATATAAAGCGGCGGCTGCTCATGCTGCCACTGCTGCAGTGGGACTCATCAAGCCATTTCGGAACGGCACCTACGCAACAACAAAGATGCACTAAGTGTTTTTAATTTTGCTGATTTTGGACACCACTGTTATATTTTGATCTGAAAGGTACAGCTTAGGTAAAAAAATTGCTTAAAAACCAAAAAGTCCTTCACTTTAGCAATAGTATTGTAAAATATTTTTTTCATTACAAAGAATCGTGAAAAAAATTTCGCGTAAAAACGTGTACTGCAAAAGCCTGGACCCTGGTAGCGTTCTTAAGATTAAAAAACAAACTTTGTAAAAATTCAAGTTTTGTGCAGCTGTAATGTCTTCTCGCGTCCGAGACGTCAGCCCAGGATCTTGGGGAACACGGTTCTCGGGGGCCCCGCGGGGCTGTGCTCGTGCTGCTGCTGCTGCTGCTGCTGCTGGTGGTTGTTGGCGGACGCCGTAGCGCGAGTCCGGTGCTTCCCCGACGAACCGGCGTGCGGCGCCGGCGGCAGCTTGGCCAGCGGGTCCGAGCGGCCTCCGCGGCGGCCCCCGTCCCCCCCGGCCGCCGCGGTGCCGGCGCCCGCCCCTCCGCCGCCGCCCCCGGCCCCCGACTGCGGGGGGGGCCTCGGCAGGCGGCGCCGGAGCCACGGGTGGCGCAGCGCCTGGGCGGGCGTGAGGCGCTCCGAGGGCTCCCACTCGAGGCACCCGCGCAGGAAGTCCAGCAGCAGGGGGTCGTCGCAACCGCGCAGCGCCGCCGGCAGCTCGCGACTTGCCGGCGGCCCGCGCGGCTTCCCGCGGCGCGAGCGCCCCGCGTTGAGCACCACGGCGCCGTCGGGCGCCTCGGTCACGCCGCAGTAGCGCGGGTGGCCGCGCGAGCTCACAAAGTTGCGCGAGCGCTTGCCCTGGGCGAGCAAGCGCTGCGGCGGCATGCCCAGCAGCTCCATGGCGCAGGCCAGCTGGTCGCCCTCGTCCTCGCCCGGCAGCAGCGGGCTGCCCGTGAGCAACTCCGCCAGGATGCAGCCCAGGCTCCACATGTCGATGGGCGGGCCGTAGCGGGCGCCCAGCACCACCTCCGGCGCGCGGTAGAAGCGTGACTGGATGTACGTGTAGACCCGCTGGTGCTCGAAGCAGCTCGAGCCAAAATCTATCACCTGCGCCGGCAGCATCAAGAAGTTAAAGCAAACATTTACGTTTGGTAAAATGGTGAACGTACAATTTAAATGCACGGGAATACCATATTACGTACTATATCGTGTGTAGGCGATGCACTATATCATTAAAAGGCAAAGTGACTACCTGCTCAGATGATTATGGAGGCATTGGTGCTCATCTCTTGATTACATCTCTGAGCCTATGCTGGAAATTGTACATTCTTATGACAGGGCCGAGTCTTTCCATAAGGCAACCATCCCCAAAAAGTGGTGTCAATTTTATCGACCCGGAGGGATGATGGCTGAGTTAACCCCTAACAAGGATTTATGTTCATTCACCCAGGAAAGTCTCACCGAGTCTCACAACTCTATTTGAGGAGGGTTCTGTCATATTTTTCACAATAGGGTTAGATGTTGCTGCTGCTATATGCGATCCCAATCGTGTAATTTGCAGGTAATTATTCAGCACTGGGACGCTTTGCCAATACCAGTTACATTGTGCGTGTGTGTTTAGCTAGAGCGGGAGAACATACAAACTCCACGTGCCCAGTCAGACCTCGAATCCAGGAATGTCTTGCTGTGAGGCATGAGTGGCACCACTGCTCTGCCTTCAGTCTAGATTAATTACTCATCACAATGAGATGACGTCAATGACAGGACGACATTTTTACCATTTCCACTGACGCCTCCATCACTCCTGCTGCTTCACCTAACGGTTGACTCCACAGATTGAGCTTGCCCTGCCCCAAAACATCAGCCTTGGTCACTCTACTGCTGGATGAAGGCCTCTACAAGCCACCACACGAGTTGATTTCCTCGCATCCTCTCGGATGCGTTGTGTAAAATTACTCTTGATCGTCGCCCATCATCGTTTCCTTCCAGTGGCAACGTGTTCTGCCCAGGCCCACTCACCTACCTTCCCAGTTTGAATGGCGTCTCTAGCCCGCGTGTTTCCTCTCATCTACGCCATCCTCTTCCTCTTTCTCAAAGTCATTTTAAGCAGGTTTTACCACGCTTCTTTGCGCACTTTGTGTTCCATATTTTAAATGACCGTGTTTTTGAACGATGTGTCCTAGTAGATAGTCGTGTGCACTTTTTCTTTATGCATATGTATGTAGGCACATGGACCAGTGGTCCATGTGCCTACATACAGTTAAAGGGAGGCAGGGTGGCGGCACAGTAGCAACACTCGTGCCTCACAGCCAGAAGCACCTGGGTTTGATTCCCGACTCAGGCACCTTTCTTCTGCGTGGAGTTGGCATTCTCTCCCCCTGCTCTGCATGGGTTTCCTCCCATAGCTAAGACACACAACGTAACTGGTATTGGACAAATGTCCCAGTGATGAAAATGTACCTGCAAATTACTCATTTGGGATTACACACAGCAGGAACAACATCACCCCCACTACCAAAACTTGTCAGGACACTCCTGAATTAAATACTGAGATTTGAGACTCAAGTGAGGCTTCCCTGGGTAAAGGAGCAACGCGTACCTTGATGCCGCTGCGCCCGGGCTGCTTCAGGAGAATATTCTCTGGCTTCAGGTCGCAGTGAATGATGCGGTTCCGGTGCAGCGTGTCCAGACACTGCAGGATCGAGTGCGCAAACTTCCGCACCAACGCCAAACTAAACCCCTGGAACTTGTTCTTCTTGATGAGCTCGTAAAGATTCATGCTGAGCAACTCGAAGGTCATGCAGACATGCCCGCGGAAAGTGAAGCTCTCCAGCAGGTGGATGATGTTCATGCTGTTCTCCCGGTCCTGCTTGCGCAGGTGCTCCAGGATGCGGATCTCCTCCGCCGCCTGCCGGTGAAAGCGTTTCTCGTTGCGCACCATCTTGAGCGCCACATGCGTCTGGGTCTTGTGGTCAAAGGCCTTCACCACCTGCCCGAAGCTGCCCTTGCCGATGACCTTGAGCACCTCGTAGCGGTAGGCGACGTGGTCGTGCGCGACGTGCACGTACGAGCCCTGCTCGTCGTCGTAGCCGCAGTTGCTCGCTCCGCCCACGACCCCCGGCCGCTTCTTCGCATTGTGCCCCACGAAATATATCTCCGCGTAGTTGTAAATCTCCTGGTGCTCGTACGCCGTAAGCTTCTGCCCATACAGCCGCACCGCCTGCTCGGGAGACGCCGGCTGGCTCCGCTGCTTGCCGCCATTGTTGTTGTTGGGGGACGCGGAGCACGAGGCGTGATTGGTGCGGTCGCCGGACTTGGTGGAGGCTGGGCTGGCGCCGGCGCCGAGCGTCTTATCGGCTGCGCGCACGGCCGGCAGCGCGTGGGCCTTGCCGGCCAGCGGTGCGCCGTTGGGCTGCGACGCGAGCACCGGCCGCCGGGCGCCGACGCCGGGACTGTCGACATACAGCTGCTGCACCTGCAGCTGGGAGTGCGCCGAGAGCAGCGGATCGCCCGCGCCGGGCCTCGACGTGCCGCCCTGCTGTGGCCGTTCGGCGCGCACGTTGCCGAGGGAGGACACGCAGTCGAGTCAGTGCAAGGTCGGTGATTAGTACCGGTTATTGTTGTGCCAGCGGTATATACGGTGAAAATCGGTTCGTACTCGTTTACAGCACGTATAGAAAAGTCTCTTGCAATAAACACAGCGCGTTTTCATTGGAACCGAGAAACGAAGGGAGCTGACGCTGCCGTAGTGGTCGTGGTGGTGTCATGGGCAGCAGCATAATGGACTTGCAATCCAGAGGTCGCCGGTTCCATTCCTTTCCCAGCGCAGAAGTTGAAACAATGAGGCACGTTTATTAAATCCTCCAACCCCTGGCTTTTAGAACCAGTAATCGATTCTCAAAACGGTTACCGCTTTTCGGTGCGGTGAACCACCCCTGCGCTCAGTGGCTCGGCAGTAAAGCAATCAGAAGGATGAGAGTTCAATCCTGGATGACGATAATTATAATTTTATTTGTTTAGTGTCAAGACTCTTATTAAGAAGGGTCCTAAAAAGTGTTTACAGTCGGGGGCAATGCTGCTGTGTGTGATCCCAATTGAGCAATTTGCAGATAATTTTTCAAAATTGGGATGTTTTGCCAATACCTGTTACATTGTATATTTTATTTGTGGAAACTGGAGAACCCATGCAGGACAGGGGGAGAAAACATCCTCCACACAGAAAGGCACCCCGAGTCGGGTATAGACCACATGTTGTGCTGTCTGCGAGTCAAGAGCGTCCACCACTGCACTGGCCTGCCCCTCATGTCTCGTCATTACGGAAAACAATGTTGTCACAAAGGTTTGGATCCACAAGGGCCTGCAGGACCTAGTGATTCTGTAGGACGAGGGACCGTGGCACTCGCGAGCGAGATGGGAGAAGTTGATCCCTGTGTCCACAGATATGTAATGTACTACTGCCAATTACCATTTTTAACAACCAAGATAAAGAAGCAGAAAATTTGCCTCCTTCCCTCAACTGTTCATTCACATAAAATATACAAATATTTTGACACATCCCACGGCCTCCTGGAGTACATATCACAATCAGCAGTCAGACTTCCTTTAATTAATTCTGGCCAACTGCCAGATGTCTATAGGCAAGAACCCTTTCAATTCGACATTGGTCCTTGTTCAAGACAAAACTATGTAAGTCAAGAGCTCGAAGTGTTCCCATGTCCCCATGTCTCTGTGAGACTGCGACCATTTTGCAGGCCACGCGCGACGTTCACGAGGTGAACGCTCCATGGCGCCGCGTCCTCACCGGCTGGCTCCTCAGTGGCGGTAACTCCACAGGCGTGACCGGATCTCCGCGGTGGCGTGGGGGGCCGGACTCCGGGCCCTTGTCTCCGGAACCGGCCACTGCAGCAGCAAGAAGACAAGAAATCGTGTCACTTCATTCACAACATCTGTAATTGACGAGGAAACCCAGCACAACAGAAACATTAATGCCGGCTGGGAATGGAGTTAGCAAAACACAGAGGTGCACAGCATGGCATGTACAAAGGCCTTATCCAGACCACCAGCGGAAAATAACTGGCTGGCTACATTTTTTCAACTCTTTGAGTTGGTGGTCTAATCGAAACATTGGCCACACGTTATTTTGCACTGGTGGTCTGGAAAAGGCGGAGACCTTTTTACATGCAATGCTGTACACCTTGGTGTGTCGTTGAATATAATCTTATCGCTTAACATTACACTTCATAACGTGTAATCTGTGCCCCACGCTCACACCATCATTCACGCCCCGTGATGTCACCAAACCTCTTGCATTATTGGCCAACTCCACATAATTTAATGTGCTCCACACGCGCAGCACCAGACACCCTGGACTATGGACACCCTGCGCCACACAACCAGCCCTGCACGCCTTGCACCAGACACCCTGGACACTTGACACCCACCACCCCCGAGCAGTGCGTCCTGCACCCCCCTTGCGTGGCCCGCATCGTCCCCGTGGCTGCGAGTCGGGGGTGACACTAAACGCGAATTCGCGGCGTTGGCAAAACTCCCCAATGCGGGGCTCCGCGACCGATTCATGAGACGCGGGCTCCCTCGGGCACTTGCAACGAAGATGTATCCACCCCAGTGGCAACCGACGACTCCTCCGACCACATCACCGCCCGTGTCGCCCCGCTCCTCCCCGGGGCTCCGGTACCTGCTGGGGCTGACGCCGCCTGCAGCGGCCTCCTCGCCACGAACATGGCGACTCTTGCCGGCCCGAGCCCCCAGTCTGCCCCCGTGTCTCCGTGTCTCCCTGTCTCCCCCCCCCCCCCCGTGTCTCCGTGTCCCCCTGTCCCCCCCCCCCCCCCGTGTCTCCGTGTCTCCCCCCCCCCCCCGTGTCTCCCTGTCTCCCCCCGTGTCTCCGTGTACCCGTGTCTCCCTGTCTCCCCCCGTGTCTCCGTGTCTCCCTGTCTCCCCCCGTGTCTCCCCCCGTGTCTCCGTGTACCCGTGTCTCCCTGTCTCCCCCCGTGTCTCCCCCCGTGTCTCCGTGTACCCGTGTCTCCCTGTCTCCCCGTACCCGTGTCTCCCTGTCTCCCCCCGTGTCTCCCTGTCTCCCCCGTGTCTCCCCCCGTGTCTCCCCCTGTGTCTCCCCCCGTGTCTCCGTGTACCCGTGTCTCCCCCCGTATCTCCGTGTACCCGTGTCTCAGATGACAGACTCTCAATTGTTTGTGCTTCTCGTGTCATGCACCTCTGTTTCCCCTCATCTCTATCTCCCAGTGCCTCGCATTCCCGTATATCTTTCTCTGCCACTCGTGCGTCTCCAGGTCCCTTCGTATATTTGTCTTTCCGTATCTCCGTGTTTATCTCCGTGTCTGTCTCCGAGTATCTGTCTCCGTGTTCAGTGTCTCTCCCCCGTGCCCCTGTCCCCGTGTCTCTGTCTCTCCGTGTCTCTGTCCCCGTGTCTCTCCCCGTGTCTCTGTCCCCGTGTCTGTCCCCGTGTCTCTCCCCCGTGCCCCGTGTCTCTCCCCGTGTCTCTGTCCCCGTGTCTCTCTCCGCGTGTCTCTGTCCCCGTGTCTCTCTCCGCGTGTCTCTGTCCCCGTGTCTCTCCCCCGTGCCCCTGTCCCCGTGTCTCTGTCTCTCCGTGTCTCTGTCCCCGTGTCTCTCCCCGTGTCTCTGTCCCCGTGTCTCCGCGTGTCTCTGTCCCCGTGTCTCTGTCCCCGTGTCTCTCCCCGTGTCTCCGCGTGTCTCTGTCCCCGTGTCTCCGCGTGTCTCTGTCCCCGTGTCTCTGTCCCCGTGTCTCTGTCCCCGTGTCTCTGTCCCCGTGTCTTCGCGTGTCCCCGCGAACCGGACCCCGCATCCCAAGATGGCGGCTCCCTCCCTTGCACCGCTCGGCGCCAGCGCCCCGCACCGTCTCCCACTCCCTCGCCTCACGCTCCCTCACACTCCCTCTCACGCTCCCTCTCACACTCACTCACTCCCTCTCACACTCCCTCACACCCCCTCTCACACTCCCCTCACTCACTCACTCGCCGAGTTCCTCGTCTCTCGCCCCGCGCGTCTCGGCGCCACCGCGTCTCCCTCACGCCGAGCCCAGGGACCGCGGGGGCGGCGTCTCTATGGCGACGCGTGGCCCCGACCTCAGCCCCGGGGACCGTGGCGATTTCACCGCGAGGCTCCATCCAGACCGCCCTCGCGAGGCGGCTGCTGCTGCCCCCCCCCGCGCGCCCCCGCGCCCCCCCCCCCGCGCCCTTGGGTGGTGGCGGCAAGTTGGGTGGTGGTGGTGGGTGGCGGCCTGCAGTGTGGTGGGTGGTGGTGGCGGCAAGTTGGGTGGTGGCGGTGGGTGGCGGTGGTGGTGGCGGCAAGTTGGGTGGTGGCGGCAAGTTGGGTGGTGGTGGTGGGTGGTGGTGGTGGGTGGCGGTGGTGGTGGTGGGTGGCGGCCTGCAGTATGGTGGGTGGTGGTGGCGGTTGAGTCGCGGTGTGTGTCACTCAAAGGCTCACGCGCCCATAGTTGGTTCATTAAGACGTGTGTGTGTGTATTGTTAGTTTAACACGTAGGCTTTCGCGACCAGTTTATTGTTACGAGATAATTCAGAGTAAAGTCACCTACTTTTAAAAGTTAAGTAAAAAAATGTATTACCAATAACATTAAACATTTACTAATTGTCCAGGAAAGCCATGCTGAGTCCTCTGAATCTCTTTCAGGATGGTCCTGCATTTTTTTATTTTAAGATGTTTCGAGACTGTTTATATCATGGGACCTTCTTTGCCAGTGTCAAAATATGATTATCGGTTTTCCCCTTTTTTTCTGGCAATAACAGGTGTCAGGATGTTAAAACACCAAACTGAAACCTTTTACAAGGACAGTATATGCAGCATATATGCATATACTTGTTTTGATTCCTTGCAAAAAGGTTTCAGTTTGGTGTTTTTACATCCTAACACCTGTTTTGTTGCCAGAAAAAATGGGAAAACCTCTTCTTACGGTATTTATACGCGAGGGGGAAACACTATTCCCTTACGGATGGAAACAGATGGCGAGAAGTCGACTTGCTGTAACTGCCTTCCAGCGAGCGAGGCCATGGAACCTCGACACTCGCGCGGTGATCCCACCAACCCTGGCTGCTGCTGCCGCCTCCCGGCAGAGCTGCATTGGAGGCCACGTGCTGCAGCACAGCCAGCACCGCCTGGCCGGGAGGACTCGTACCGAGCTGACAATCGATGTCAACTCCCGTGGCTGAGCTCAAGCGGGCAGCTTCGCCATCCGGAATGTTGCAAGTTCAAATCCTGGTTGAGAGTGGACTCAGCCCACCATTCCTTCGGGGGTCGATTAAATACCAACTTTGTGGGGAAGCCAACCGCGGTCGTCCTCTGGGTCGACACTCACCCCGACATAGGAATGAAGAATTTCCACACGAGCTCCGATGCCTTATTGTTCATCGTAGCCGGAGCTCGCTTGGACTCGACACACCGTCTTGGGTACTTGGTGCCCACGGGAGGTGGACGCGGGGCACAAACACATCCCTCTCGCTCTTACTGTGCGAACGCAATGCAACTGTAAACACCAGGAGAGTTTTTTGCTTGTATTTATTATGAAATGAAACATTCAAATACAAAAAAGCATACAAATGTATGTCATGTTGTAGCACAACGGAAAAGTGGAGTTTGTTCAACTCTTTGGTAATAATCTTATTTTAATTCCACTGTATACCGAGGGCCACTGATCGCAGCCGTTCCTTTTCAGTGTTGCTGTGCTGTACTTCCTTCTACTGGCGAGCCAGGGTATGGCTCCTCCTCTTCAATGCCCATGGGAAAGAAGTGTTGCAACATGTGTGACCCACCAACCCTTGCCTTCAAAGTGCGAGATTACAGGCTACGTGCATAGCCACCAACAACATCCTGCTACATTACCAATGGCACGTTCTGGTAATTTACAGTAGAAATATGTGGACGGCTATATAGACTTTGGAATTAAGGCTGCATGAATGATGAGTTCAGTTGATGTGTAACGAGCTGAGAACTCAACAGACCAGAATGAGTCTCACTGCAAGAGTGAGCGGGGTAAAGCAAGGTTGTCATTATGCTTGTTTAACCAGGAAAGAGGGTCCTGCCAAGTTTTGGCAGTAGGGGGCAATGTTGCTGCTATGTGTGATCCCAATTCAGGAATTTGTAGGTACTCTTTTAGCATTGAGATGCTTGGCCAATGCCAGGAAACAAAATTTAAGACAGAGGCGCCAGAGTCAAACCCGGTCGCAACTTGCAGTGTGGCACAAGCATCACCACAGGCGCAACTTGCAGTGTGGCACAAGCATCACCACAGGCGCAACTTGCAGTGTGGCACAAGCATCACCACAGGCGCAACTTGCAGTGTGGCACAAGCATCACCGCAGGCGCAACTTGCAGTGTGGCACAAGCATCACCACAGGCGCAACTTGCAGTGTGGCACAAGCATCACCGCAGGCGCAACTTGCAGTGTGGCACAAGCATCACCACAGGCGCAACTTGCAGTGTGGCACAAGCATCACCACAGGCGCAACTTGCAGTGTGGCACAAGCATCACCACAGGCGCAACTTGCAGTGTGGCACAAGCATCACCACAGGCGCAACTTGCAGTGTGGCACAAGCATCACCACAGGCGCAACTTGCAGTGTGGCACAAGCATCACCACAGGCGCAACTTGCAGTGTGGCACAAGCATCACCACAGGCGCAACTTGCAGTGTGGCACAAGCATCACCACAGGCGCAACTTGCAGTGTGGCACAAGCATCACCACAGGCGCAACTTGCAGTGTGGCACAAGCATCACCACAGGCGCAACTTGCAGTGTGGCACAAGCATCACCACAGGCGCAACTTGCAGTGTGGCACAAGCATCACCACAGGCGCTGCCACCCTGCTGCACAGCGAGTGGAGTGAACGCGCATTTGAAGGCAGCAGAGACGCAGACCGCCCACCCCGTCGTGCACACTGGTGACAGTGCTACTCTTTCTTTGAGCGCATCGCTTGCGCGGGCCTGGCTTGCGGCCGCACGAGCCTCCAAGGCACCATCACGACTGTGACGGCCGCCAGCAGCAGTAACGCGGCGTGTGCGGGGTGGTAGGCCAGCCAGCTGAGCGCAACGACGGTCACCGAGAGCGACACGGCGCCGATTGCCGCAAACACCGACAGGCCAAGGTTCACGAGGTCACGCACCAGCGGCAGCCAATCCACTGCAGAGGCCAAAGGGACACACGCACACGCCCGCCCTCAACGTCTTAGTCACCACCACACACCGCTCGCATTTCGGACAAAAATTCACGCAGTTCTCAATCGATATTGGTTAATTCCATACAAACACCCGCAAATACGGCACGTCTAAAGTGTCCCTGCTGCTGCTGGCCGGGGCATTTCTTACCGAGCGTGTGGACGATGTTGACCATGAGCCTGATAGCCAAGTACATGAGAAGCAGGCCGGCAGCACGCAGTGCCCAGCTCAGCTGCCGGTTGCTCTGGTGCTCCAGCTCAAAGAGCTCCTGCGGGGAGGCAGAGAGCCATCATAATAGAGCACCATCGCTTTGAGACCCGGAGCGCAGGTGCTACAGAGGAAGCAGCAGCATTGGTGGCCCTAACCTCTTGACCTTGCATAACAATAATCGACGTCGTCCTGGAGAATAAAATTAACTAAATAAACAAGCGGACAATACACGCTGCATTCACATCCCATCGGCCACACCTGGGAGTGCACCATGACAGTAGCGTTGGCTCAACGCAAGCGAGACTCTGGACTGGTTTCGACATCCAGTGTCTCATCAGCAGAGTGAGGCTTGCGTCACCTTACAAATAGTTCTCTT